CTAATATTACCAACGGAGCTAGGTTTACCTTCACGATTGCTATGAGCTGCCGATGTTAGGTTGTGGGATTAGTATTTGACGAGCATTCTTCCACTTGTCTGAGTAGAGTCTGTCGAACACTTAGGCCACGTACAAGTGGGACAACGACAACACTATAACTCCCATCATCATCCACCTGCAGAGTGCAAAGTGGATGACTTGGTGTTAGTTTGTTTTCCCCATCTTATGATGGTCTTTCATTATTTTGAGAGGAGGGGGTGATGTGAGGTCCAAATGTATGGCTATGATGCCATATACTAAGATTAGCATAGTGGGATTTTGGTAGATGTCAGATTGGTTTCAATTCAGACCACTCGCTCCTGTATATAAGCTAGGGTTTTTGGGTTAATTGATATGGACATTTTCTGTATTCCCTTTCCATATTCCATGCAATCACAAGCTGAGTCTGCAAAAATTATGTTAATGACATGGCATTAATATATACTTCCAAGAGCCTCTTTCAGCTTCCACTTGTTGCAAGACTTCAATGCTAGCATACAATCCAGTCCTATAGTTTTGTAGTGGAATGTTAGTGGTCTGTTGTATACATTGGAACCACATTCTAACTCTTATATATAATAACAGTAAATAGTATATATTAAGAACATTTATACAGTACTGATTTTATACATTAATTACTAATACACAATAAGATCAAATGAATCTTAATATTTATGCAAGAACCATGGCCTGCAGGTTCTGTAATATATGTGAATGAACACCTTGGGGAAGAGTTTCAGGAGCCACATATTCACAGCTATTGGGCTCTTCTACACATATAGCTGGAGACCCGCCAAGTCCAAGTCATACTGCAGCCTCTAGAGGTCTGATATCACTCTACAAGCGACAAGCCAATCACTGATGGCAGCCTGCTGGACTTCATGTGTCAAGTTGTGAGCTTTGGGCTGGGACTCGTGAGATTAGACATTCGCCAGGAGTCTGAGAGGCATACAGATGTTATGAACGCCATCACAAATCATCTCAGCCTGGGTAACTACAGAAGCTGGCCAGAAAAGAAGAGGCAAGAATGGTTGCTCACAGACCTCCGCAGCAAGAGAGCACTCTTTGGTGCTGATCTTTAGATGACTGAAAAGGTCCAGGATGTGCTAGGCACATTCTATGTTATATCCAAGTTGCCACCCGACTGCTTTGGAGCCTACTTTATCTCTATGGCTACAGCTCTGTCCAATGTTCTCACAGTCGAGCTTTTGCAATGAGAGTTCCAGGTGAGCAAGCCACTGTGGGTGTTGAGAATCATGGATTTAGAAGCAGCTCTAGCAGCCATGGATTGCCTCTTTTTGATCGACTGGTATTGTAGTCACAGCAATGGGAAGCAGGAGGAATGATCTGTTACTCCAACTCTGGAAAGGACACAAGGAGATTATGTGGTGCTTAGCAACAGTTCCAGATGCAGGGAAAATAAAAAGAGAATTTTTATCAAGGCCTTTTTTATGTAATTGCCTTGGATGATTGGACACGCCATCTTGCAAATCATGGATTGTTTTCTTCTCCTCAATTGCTTCTTCTCACAGGTGGACAAGCTTATGGCAGCTGAGGGTAAGATGAGAATATGCATGATGAAGCAATGTATACTTACCCAGGTTCTTGAGTTACAGGGTGATGCTGCTGGCTAAGATCTTGTAGTGGTGGATGCCATGCACAAAAAAAATTTTGCAAGTCAGATCTGTAACTCATGCAAGGCAAATTGCAGGGAAAAGTAGAATCAGTATGATGGGTTTGGTAGGGTGACTGCTGTCAATGGCTGACACATCATTGGAGTATGCTCTATGACCAATAAAGAACTAATTTTCAATTATAATCCTGTGAAGGAGGCGAAGTTTGCTCTTTTTCTCTTTATGATTGTGCAAGAATGACTCATTGTCTTACAGAGAAAAGAGAGGTACAACAATTCATTTTGTTAACGGAAGCCAGTATTGTCATGGGAGCTATCTTAATCTTGGAGTGGAGTTATGAAGGAGCGGCATTGTTTGGTATGTGTTACTTCTAGCCTGGTGACAAAGTTGGAGCTTGAAGAGATGAGACAGGGGTTGTTGGATCTTGCCTACTAAACAGTCAGTTGGATTGGTTGTTAAAATATGGCCTGACAGGTTCATTCTAAGTTTTAAACTTAGATCTCAACTCACATTTTATGAATGTGGAACACCAACTACTGCCTAAGAAGTGCTAAAGAAGAGGAGAAAGGATGCCAATTTCTCTTATGAACTCGGTAGAGTCGACACTGAGAACAAGGTTTGAAATTACATTAAAGGAGACTTTGAAAGTTCGTAACTTATACAGGCCAAGGGTGTCTATATAGAAATTGTCCACCTCCTCATGTTAGGCCACTAATATGCTAAAATTATGCTAAACTCCATCAAAAACCATTTTGTGTAAGGGATTCTGTTTGTAAGGGATTCTGAGTGCATATGGACCCGCATTTCATAGCATAATAGGTTTGGAGTTTGGCTTCAAATTTAGGTATGCTACAATAATTTTTGGTAGCAAGACACTGATATCAAAATATTTCTAGATCACAGAAAAAATATCGCACCTAGACTTCTATCAAGACCCTCACTTAGAGTGCTTCTCAAGCTGTGTCTCTGCTGTGCACAATCCTTATGCCCTTAAATCATGATACAATGCATGCACGAAGGTGGTCTTGTCAGGATGGCTACTGTGGTGGAGCATTCCCTGGAATACACAAGGCTTAATTTGGGAAACCATTTAGATTCCAGGCCAAGAGCATTCACAAAGTCCTCTCAGTTTTTTTGAAAGTAGACCTCTGAACACGTTGCATATAGCATGACCAATTTCCAAGGACAGTGGAGGTTGCAAAACCAGCTCTATGCCTCATTTCAAGTGGCAGTGGCCTTGATGATAGAGCCATGTAAGATCCGGGTACATGGTTTAGGTCTAGAGCAGCATCCATCACAAGAAGAACATTGTTTTGGTTCAAAGTCCAAGACTGGTCTGGCTGATTCTGTAATGAATCTCTTCAACTCTTTAGAGGTCTCCCACTTTCCCAATCTGGTCTTCCACTGGGAACTTGATGTCCAGTCTGCTCCCGGTGAAATTGGGCAATTTGTTCCAAGCACACCGTCTTATGAACTTAGACAACATTCCTGGAAGAAAACACTTAAATGAAACTATCCACCGTTGCAAAACATATGATAGAGAAAAGCTCGAGATCAAAGTAGTTGGTGTTGTTCATAGCAAGATAGGGATATTTTCCTGCATGTCTCCCTGCAGCAGAGAGCATTTTTGAGCCTTGGCATATCATCCCAGATGGCTGCCATGACCTTGGTGCTCTACGACATGGTGCTCAAATTATCCTTGCTTGGATCTATAGCCACTAACAGCATCGCCTGGCCTGGATCTGGGATTGAGCATTGCTGATCTCGATCATTTTGCTTATGCAAAGAAAAGAGCCAAGATAGGAGAAGGATGTAAGCCAGTCTTCTGTTTTGCCTCAAATTTCTATCCGCTGCCACAAGCCAAGGTCACGCTCTTGCTAATTACTCTCAAGAAAGATCCTTCCTTGGCAGAGAGCCCTTTGGTTCCACCAGAGGCATCTGATAAAATTAGAATTATTTTTCTCACATCCACAGCCCTTCCTTGGCAACGCAAACACAAAGAGCCATTAACTCAAAACTCAAAATCACCTCTTTACCATTAACTCACAACCACTCCATTCCCATAAAGAAATACAGTTCGCTCAGTCACCTTTCCTAACCTTGAAGATCGCCCTGTCTGATATAGCTGCACTGCTACATAACTTCATCGGCATTCTCATACTGCAGATCTCAGGGTAATTCATCTATCATTAATCTCGCACTAATTTATTTCATTCATGATATATAACGTATTCATAATGTCTTCGTAAACAAGCTTATATGTGTGTGTGTGTTAATATGTGGTTAAGCTTATGTCAAATAAACATACGTACAAATATGTAACGTATTCACAGTTGATTTATATGATTCGTATATCATATCATGCTCATGTTTTTATACTTGATAATTATATTGATAACAGATCTCAGGGTACTTACATAATTGGAATCTTATCATTGAAAGTCCATAAAATCCACAACTAAACTGTTCACTTTGTCTATCAAGCTCCTCCTCACTCCACTCACAGCATTCCGCGTTGAAGAGAGCATCGAGACTGCTTGCTCCTCGGGTATTAACGCAGCATCGACTTAGTATTCGAACAAAATCCCACAGTCAAGAGTTCTCCAAACTTTCAAAACACCACAACACTTACAAAGAATGGAATTTCATTTGTCTCGCCGTTACAAACACTATTAGAAATCCACGATAAAACCTACAGAAAAACTCTTTTGTATAGCAAAAAAGAGAGAAGAAAAGAGAAAAAAAGTCTAAGTGAAACCAACCAACCTCCGAGATTTCATTTGCATCACTGTATGGAGCAATAAGCATCGATGCTAAATCTTGCTCCTCATCATCCAAACGCCACCAGGTATTGATTCTCTTCACCACTGACTTTTGATGGTTTGGATCTCTTCTAAAACATATCATAAAAATCCTTGCCACGTCTTGCTCTTGGTTCTGCCTCGGCCTGCAAGTTTCATGGATGGGTTCAGAAGAGAGGCAGTAATAGCAAAATTTCTGCACAAAAACGAGGATTAATTAACCAGCGAGCTATATAACTATCCACCTTTTGCATTTCGCCGTCAAGCCATGATAGGCTCAAAAGCTTGTCTTTGTATGCACTGGCAGCAGAAAAATTGTGGCTATCAATGTCCTCGCTTATGAGCTCATCTTGCACGATTCTCATCATCTAATATGAGAAACTCGTCAGCTAGAAACAACAAGAAAGAAAAATCTTACACTGCGGAGTTGATCAAGCTGAAAACCAGGCCTTCCAGCAGCCACAATGCAGTACCATGTTGCTACATCTTTTCCAGCTGCGGAGAAGTCCGTGGGATCACATCAGAGTTTGGAAGCCGTGATGCTTCGCAGCTGAAAAGCACTCACATCAAATTGCAATTCAAAAGATAGCAAAAGGAGGAAGAGCCTACATGGTACTTACCATGAACTTTATGTTCTTCCACAGTTTCCATGAAGGAGTCACGGGTCAATTTACCTGCAAAGTGAAAGAAATCATCTCAAAGAAGCCGAAAAGAAGATTCTTACCATAAACAATTATGGGCTAGACACCTGGATCTTTGATGAAAACTACTGCCGGTGCCAAGCCTGCTCCACATGCAAAAGCATGAATGAATTCACGTGATTATCACTAAAACTACTGGCTTTTCCAAATCGAAGCTTCCTCTTGCCTCCACAAAACACATCTGAAAGACATCAACTCGGAGTACTTCTTGGCTGCTTCTCTTACGAATGGAAGTGCACACTCTCTTGTGCCAGAAAAAAAAAAAACTTTCACCTAAAAAGAAGTGAAAAAGAGAGATTTTGATTAGCATCGTAAAAAAAAATTTATGCTACTATAACAGCACCTTATGCGGTCCAGATTTTTGAATGAACTCGGGTATCTGCGTGACTTTAGTCAGTGCTTGTTTTAGATTTTAGTGAAAATTGTGGCTACCAAGTTCTGAGAAGAATAATAACGAATGCGAGGAAGATCGAGAAGCAGCCTTGCTGTTCCAGTCAAGTATAGAATCGTAGCTGAGGCCTTTGGAGTACCTACAGTGTTCGTCAGGAAAAGCAGAACAAGGTTTCATGAATTTACCAAATCAGGCATTTTAATTCCCTACACCCCAGCGGCTTGGCAACAAGAGATGGAATTCCTGAAGAAAAAAATGAAAGAAAATAGGAGGTTTACGTGTGTATGGCATCTGATCCACCTCTTTCCTGCCAAGAGCTTTGCGAGTTGAACTTCTCCTAGCTTGACTCTCAAAATATTAATTTGGCCTTCAAGAACTTCTGCTGGAATCACGAACAGCATGGTTGGAAAAAAACACGAACACGCAAAGCATTACCCAGACTTTCCCACACTGGTGAGATCCCAAACTTGCCCAGTCTTTTTATTTTTTCCGTTCATCTGCCTCTCATCTTTTACTGGATTTGATGATTGAAGCTGCCAAACCATACCAGTGCTGTCAATTTTGCCTTCATCGCTGTCATTTCCCTTTCATCAGTGTCACTGTCGACCTTGTCGAAAAATGACAGACAGGAAGGGCCTTTCGCTCGTCTTTTAAAGCTGAACATAGTAATATTTTAAAGCTGAACTGCAGGGAGAATAGAGGTAAGACTTTTGCAGCTCTCAATCTGCCCTAAAAATTTCCTTGATTTGGAGCGTCATTAAAATCACATTGAAGCGTTGCCACCCCTTTGGCACTTATGCCATCTATTTGACAGTGAAGAATATGTTCCCGATCCCTCGTATCGATGATTTGCTTGATCGTCTTCGTGGAGCTCGATATTTTTTGAAGATTGATTTGAGGCAAGGATATCATCAGATTTGTGTCAAGCCAGAGGATGTTCTGAAAACTGCATTTCAGACAAGGACAGGTCACTACGAGTTTTTAGTGATGCCGTTTGGTTTGACAAATGCTCCTGCAACTTTTCAGAGATTGATGAATCACGTTCTACAACCTTACTTGGGAAAGTTTGCAATTGATTATTTTGATGATGTCTTAGTATTCAGTTCTTCCGTGGAGGAACATGAGATGCATGTGCGAAGTGTTTTACAACTTTTGAGGGACAACAAGCTCTACTCGAAATTATCCAAGTGCGAGTTTTTTTTAGAGGAGATTGGATATCTCGGGCATTTGATTTCGGTACATGGAGTGAGAGCTGATCCCGCAAAGATTCAAGCCGTGGTTGATTGGCCTATACCTTCCACAGTGCATGATCTCCGTAGTTTCCTTGGTATGGCTAGAGTTTTTCGACGATTTGTGAAGGACTTTTCAGGGATAGCAGCCCCTTTAACTGATCTTCTCCAGAATACGTCGAAACATGCTACTATTCATGGTTGGGATAAGAAGTGTGAAGTGGCATTTCAACGTTTGAAGCAATGTTGTATCTCTGCTCCGGTGTTGAAGATTTTTGATCCTGAAAAGCCTCTTGTGGTCGAGACAGATGCAAGTGACATTGCTATTGGAGCTGTTTTGCTTCAAGTTGGGCATCCTCTTGCGTACATGAGCCATAAGTTTGATGCCACACAGCGGAATTGGCCTACTCGAGACAAGGAGTTGTATGCTGTGATTGCTGCTGTGAAGGAATGGCGACATTATCTCTATGGATCGGACTTCTATGTGGATTCAGACCATCAATCTCTCCAATATTTCAGTTGACAAAAGGATCTTCGAGGCCGCCTTGCTCGTTGGCAAGAGTTCCTGCAGGAAATGTCTGTTAAGATCCGGTACAAGCATGGAGGTGACAATAAGGTGGCTGATGCGTTATCCAGGATGGTAAATTCTATTTCATTTGTGAAGCTATCCAGCAATCTCTTGGATGAGCTTAAGGAGTTTGTTGACTTTGACTCCTTTATCACTGATATTCGCGCGAAGGTTTTGTTGAGGGACGCCTCTACAGATTTGAAGGGTGACAAGTTTGCGTCATTCGAAATACGAGATGGAATCCTAGTGAAGAAGGGACATGTAGTGGTTCCTCGTGTTGACAAACTCATCAAACGGATTTTGGTTGTGTGTCATGATGTGCCAAGTGCTGGGCATCCGGGGGTATTGAGAATGTATATGTTGGTGAAGAGGCATTTCTTTTGGCCTGGGATGAAGTCAGATGTTGAGAACTACGTACGTGGTTGCTTGACCTGCCAGGCGGTCAAAGTTGATCATCAGAAGCTCGCTGGCCTCTATCATCCTTTACGTGTACTCGAGAATAAATAGGATAGCATCTCGATGGACTTTATCACTGGTTTGCCCAAAACCTTTCTAGGAAATGATGCTATTTGGGTTGTTGTGGATCGTTTGACGAAGATGGCTCACTTTTTCCTTGTGAAGACAATGATAAAAGCTTCTGAACTTGCTCAGTTGTTTGTAGACCAGTTATTCAGTCTCTATGGTTTGCCGGGTGACATTGTGAGTGATCGGGATCCTAAGTTCACGTCCAAGTTTTGGCAAACGGTCTTTGAGAAACTAGAGACTAAACTAAGCATGAGTAGTGGTGAGCATCCACAATCTGATGGGTAGACAGAGCGCATGAATCAACTATTAGAAGATATGCTACAGTCTTTTGTGGGAAATTTGAGTCGACAGGGAGTATGGGAGAAATACTTGCCTTTGCTTCAGTTTGCTCACAATAGTGCTCATCAATCGGCTATTGGCATGTCTCCTTTTATGGCGATGTATGGCTATGAGCCTAGGTCTCCTGTGAGTTTGAATTTGGCTTTGGTTTGGATTCCTCATGCTTGTGATTTCTTGGAGGATATGCAAGACAAGCTTGAGTTGGCAAAATTGAATATGAGGCAAGCTCAAGAACGAGACAAAAGATTGGCTGATGAGCATCGTCGTTATCAAGAGTACAAAGTTGGTGACAAAGTTTTCCTTAAGCTGTCGGATGCACAACGGTCTTTAAAAGGAGGTGGCAGTGCTAAGTTGTCTCCACGGTATTGTGGACCTTGGACAATTTTACAGCGTGTGGGGGATCTTGCATACACTTTGGATTTGCCAGTTAGTTCAAAGATTCATCCAACGTTCCATGTGAGCAAGTTTAAAGCGTGTTTGCACTCTAGTGATATCATGGATTAGTCCATCATCCAGGTTCCAGAGATTGATGCAGAGAAGGCTAGTCCGGCCAATATTTTTGCTCAAAGATTGGTGAAAACACGCCGGAAAACAACTAGGGAGTTGTTAGTTTAGTGGAATGGTTATTCCATGGACGAAGCTACATGGGAAATTGAGGATGACGAGAAGAGAGTGTTTCCGAGTTTTGGTTATGACTTGGATGACATTCCTGAGGAAGGGGAGAATTGAGTTTTATGGCCGTATTGCTATATGATTTGAGCCGTTTGTTCTATTCTCATTCTCTTGTTTCCATGACTGTATTGTCATGTGAGAAAGCCGTATTGCTTTCTTTCTTTTGTGGCCGTTTGTCACGACGTTGGTGTTGCCGTTTGCACATCTTTTCTCCATGGCCGTATTGCCTTGGACTCCATGTGAGGCTCGTTTAGCTTCTCGAGGCTGCCGTATGTGGCTGGGTCATGAGGGAGGGGAGAATGACACGAACCACGGGAATATTCTGAGAATATTCCATGGCCTGTGGGATTTAAGGCCGTAATGCCTTAAGGGTTGGGAGGTTGGCCTAGGGTTTGCTCTCTTGTTCGTTTCAGCCCATGTCCTAAAATAGGACATGGTAATAAGATTCCGACAGTATTTAAAGTTTGGCCCTGAGATTTGCATATTGTAATTGAGAATGCAAGTCTCAAAGGAAATTGTCGTCTTTTTAATACAAATGGCATGTCACCATCTGTAGGTTTTAGTATGATTCTTGGTAGTAAGACCTTTTTTCCTTCTCTATCTCCATGTAATATTTTTGCTTCTATTACATTTTGTAACGCTGATGTAATTATTAATTTAGTACCATTACATAAACCCTTTTTTACATCAAGATTTCGTAGAAACATCACAATGCTTCCAATTTTTATATTTAAGTTATGCGGAGGCATCCCAGATGGTGTTATGGAGTTAAGATATTCTACTGGGTAGTCCAATATTTCTTCAAAGGAATCACTATCAATTGTATCCACACTTTTAAAAGAAAACAGTCTTCCTGACATCCTTGTTAAAACTTGTTCATTTATATCTAATGAATGATCATTCAATGTCATTAAGATTGCTTTTTGTGAGTTACTTATAGAAGGTAATACTTTTTGACCGAACACAGCATTTATCATGGAATTCTTGGTTGTACATTTTTTTGGTAGTTCTACTATATCATCTTCATATCCATCAAGTCTTGGTAAATTACCATTTCCGAGTCTAATTAACCATTCTGACCACTCCTTTTCATCTTTGTTAACACACATATTTTCTGTAAGTGTATATTTCACTACAAATGACCATATAAAATTGAACTTAACACTATTTTGTACAATTTGAATCTATTATGCTCTTTTAAGCACAGGTAGTGTTTGTCTAAAATCACTGCCAGTTACAACAGTTATACTACCAAATTTATCAGAACAACCTTTAATGTCACGTATTACACATTCTACAGCATTAAATACATGTACT